TTACGGTAATAAGTGACGATGTCTATTTTGTGATCGTTTTTGCCTTTAACATGTCGAGAGATAGTTTCCCGTAAAGCTTGTTCGTCTTGCTTGTGGGCAGATGTCATTTGATTTTGATAATACAGTTTGACGGTTGGTTGGATGTCCTGTCTTGGTTTGCCGTCAAAGTGTCTTGTCATTTGCCTTTGTATCTCGTTTTCAACGTCAGAATTTGAAAAACCGTTGTTCACCAAGATATGTCTGATTCTTATCAGTTCTGAATGTAGTCTTGTCCAATCAAGGCCCGGAAACTAGAACAATACATCAAAAAGCTCGCCAATGCTGAGTCAGTAGTTATCTCTCACCAAACATTACAAGAGAAAGGATTCTGCCAAAATTTTTCATATATATATATATATATATATATATATATATATATATATATAAGCGCATGTGCGTAGCCACAGGAACCATGCATGGAAACCTCCCTTCTTTGCTTTGATTGCATTTACTTCTTATAAAGGCACCTGTTTTGTGAGGCTGAACGGATGCAGTTGCAGCTCTCTCCTGCCTACTCAAAAATAAATTGACGTATAATTTACCGTCATGTGCTCAGGATTTTTTGTTTTTATTCATCCGTTTGCAAGAATCGTCCAGCATCCACAATGTATGTGGCTATCACAACCCATTTATATGCGGGTTCTCAATACACCAAAATGTAATGGATAAAACACATGCATTTCAGTGAACATCAGTGCTAACGAAGTCACGCGCACTGCTGTTAATGTTCATTCCACGCATAAGTTAACAACATGGTATTCAAACTTTCCGCAAATGCGCTTAGACAGATGCCCTCCCGTTGAGAATCCCTTACCTTACCTTACCCCGTCCCTCTTTTCAATAAACACGAAATGCAAGCCAGCTGTACGTCTGGGGGACGCCTCTTTGCAGATCGCTGAACACCTGGGAGAGGGCCGGATACCGGCTGGTGCTGGTACGGATGCGGCCTACGTCCACTGCGTGAGACACGTCTTCCAGCATGTTTGCGACGTCACCACGTACCGGAACATTAGCAGGATCGACTGGCAGAGGCAGGCGGCTGAGGCCGTCCGCGTTGTCGATGTACTACCCGGCGACGAACTGGAACTGGTACTGATAGCCAAGCGTTAACACTCGCCAACGCGGGATCCTGGGGGACACTGCGGGGGATAGGGCTTTGTCAGCAGACAGCAGACCAAGCACGAGGTTGTGATCTGCTCTGGCCAGGAATGGTCTTCCGTGCAGGTATTGGTGAAATTTTCCTACTCCAAACATTACCCTCAGCGCCTCCTCGAGCTGACTGTAGTAATGTTCAGCAACACTTAGACTTCGACTAGCGTAGGCGATTGGACGGTCTCCTTTCTCAGCGTCAGGATGGCTGAGGACTGCTACTAGGCCATACGAGCTGGCGCCAGTTGTTAGAACTAACGGCTTTCCAGACCGTAATGGGTAAGTGCCGGATCAGCGACAAACAGCTGTTTGGTCTACAGGAACGTGGCACGCTGAGAGGCTTCCCAGTTCCAGGTCGCTCCCTTCCGTTCTAGTGAGTACAGCGATGCTGCTACCGCAGCCAGGCCGGGCAGGAATCCGGTGCAATACTGGAGCAGGCTGAGATAAGCCTTCAGCTCAGACAGATTCTTTGGCTCCGAGGCATCCTGCACAGCCTTTGTCTTCTCCGACGTTGGGTAGACTCCGGCGGCAGAGATGCAGAAGCCGAGGTACCTCGCCTCTTTGGCCAGCCAAACAGTCATCTTTATTGACTCTCAGGCCTACCGAGCTCAGACGGCGCGGCACCTCCCCTATATTTTCTCAACGAGCGGATATGTTTGGACCAGTCACGACGATGTCATCAAGGAATACCACCACGTTGGGTATGCCCGACAGCAACGTCTCCATCCCACGCTACAAGATCGAGACAGCGCTTTTGGCACCGAATCCCAGTCAAGTTGGGCGAAACAACCCCTTTTGGGCGCTGATGGTGAGTGCCTCCTACCCTCGTCCTTACCCGTGCCTACCTTACCTACCCTCGTCATCCAGTTCCAGCTGGAAGTAAGCTTCGCGGAGATCGATTTTGGTGAACATCTTGCCGCCAGTCATACCTGCGAATAGCTCGTCCACCTCGGGCAGTGAGTACTTCTCCAGCTGGCTAGCCTTATTTACCGCTTCATCATAGCTGCCACAGAGACGAAGAATGCCATTTGCCTTTAAGTCGGCACCACTGGTGCAGACCAGCGAGACGTTTTCGCTGGTTCCATGATTCCTTCTGCAACCTGTCTGTCCAGCTCTTTTTCGATCACCTCCGGCTGCGCGAAGGGCAGTGGTCGATGTTTCAGGAAGATCAGCCTCACTACCGGATCAAGCTCGATGAAGAGTTTTCGAACATTGTAGCGACCCGTGTCCGGTTTGAGCAGGCCGCTGTACTCAGCTCGATCTTTCTGCAAGGAAGCTTCCAGCGCGTATACTTGCATCGTAACCGGTGCTCCATTGAGCGAAACATCTACGACTACTGGAGTCGACCTGACCATCGCCTTGTTGATACCGTAGGCATGGTCCTCCACCACCCAGTGAACAGTCTTGAAGAGCTGGAACATCTTCAGCGACTTGATCTGTGCGGTCACTTCTCGGCTGGTGCCTGCTTCGGCAGGCGCTCCTGGTATGCCCCACTCGGTGACAGCATAACAGTCAGCTTGCTTGAGCAGACAGTCCCCGCTGGCGTGGCGCCTGCTGCGGCACCTGGAGCGCGCCGGCGCTGTCGGGGCCCGGGGAGCCTGAATCAGCCCCCGCGGCCGTATGGCCGGTGCGGCTTGACCGCAGGTTCGACAGGCTGATGTGTCCCGACGATGCGCCGGCAGGTTAGCATCCGCTTCGGACGAACTAACTGAGAGGGCGTTGGAATTTAGTCTGTCCACCTGGGCACGAACTTGTTCCTCCTGTTTCGCTATTTCCAGGGCTTCGCTCAAGGTTAGCACCGGTCTTCCATATAATTTATTCTGGAACTTCCTGTTTTCGCAGTAAGCCACCGCATACTCAAGCATGACTGCATCGCGCTGCTCGGAGTACTGGCAGCAGTCCGCTTGCATTCACAGCCGGGACACGAAAACCCCAAAACTCTCTCTGGCTTTCCTTCCGAAAACATGGAGCTGGGCTCGCTCGTAAGTGGTATTAACTTTCGCATCAAAGTGTGCCGTCAGCTTAGCCGTCCATCTGCTATTCTCGTCCGGAGCTGCTTCCGGTGCACTTGACAGTGTCCTGGCGAGCTCTTGGACTTCCAGTCCTAGCAGCGTGAGAGCCGTCGTGGCTGTCCGGGGGCTGGAGGTGATGTCTGACGCAAGCACATAAAATTCGCAACCCCGGAGCCGTCGCGCGAAGTCCTGGCCAACTCCATAACGCGACGGCATTGGTAAACCATGTGATTGGGCCATTTCAATTTCAGCAAAGCGCGGCGTGGCGGCGGCAGGGATTTCAGGGCGGCACGTGCCTCAAAAATGGTGCCGGCGGCGCCGGGCTACGCACTTCGAGCAGGGCAACTAAGTAAATAACTGGACATACTAAACTGGAAAGTAAGTGGACTGCGCTTACTTTCATCCCATCCTCGTCGCCAATTTGTTCCGTCCGTAACTGCTTTATTACCGGAACAAAGCGAACATAACCCGTAAGCGCACAAACACCTCCCGCTTCTGCTGCCTCGGCTGGTGTTACCTGCACACTCGCCGGCGAGCTGGCCGGCGCCAGCCGTAGAACGGCATTCAGCCCAGACTCCTGCTACTGAACACTAGGTCAATTGAATTTGTCCATTCAGTTGTTGTGTTGCCTTAGAAAGTATTTCAAGCATGCATCGTTTCATCCGACATTCCGTTGTTCCATCGGATTGAAAGATTCCCTTGAAACTGACTTAACCGAATCCATGGCCTGACTGTGACCTGCTGTACGTCAGCGATCTTGCAAGGTACACGCGATCCGCTATTCACCTGTCTACAGTTGAGTAGCGGACCGATAGTGGATTGATAGTTGTCTGCAAAATTTGGCGCAGCTTCGCCATCCCGTTCGGAAGCCATTCCGTAAAAACACTCGGGGGGGGGGGGGGGGGTGATTTAACCCTCTACCCAAGCGCGTGCTTCAAGTGTGACTAACTCAGTCAGGTGCACTAAACTGGACATGATATCGCAGTTATGTTTTTGTTTGGTTGTCTTGACTGTGAAACAATTCGCAGAAGCCTTCTTTAAATGCTGTATAGTTTCGGGCTTCTATGTGAAATGTTCTACATGAACCCCAGAAGGTTTGGGGCCAAACTCGTGCATGGGGGAGAGCAAATTGAACATGGGGGGGGGGGGGGGAGGGGGCGCGTTACCCACCCAAAACGACGCAAATTGACACCCGCGGTAAGAAGACAGGCAACAGATTAGTAACCAGCCATAAACAAATGGAGCTTTGGAAGGTTCTGGACGTCTGCATGTCTTCTCCTTTACCTTTGGAAATCAAAGCAACATAATGTAGCAACAGGCAACAACCGTTTGAGATATACGTCTAGCATGCCAAGGAACATAGAATGTGGGGTAAATGTGGCTATATGTGAGTTTTCACAGTAAGATATATCTAACTGTATCCTACCCAGAATAGTCATGGTATGAATATACCAGTTATACGAAATAACACATGCCCATGCCAGTCGAAAGTCTAGAGCCAATTGAAATACGTTAGCTGCACCCGGGTACGCCTTAGTTGTGTCGTTCGACCATATGTTTCCTGGCGGTCAGCTCTGTATACTTCCCTTACAAGCTTTTTTGTTCACAAGTCTTACAAATTTCAAGGTAAAATGGATTTATATATTCTTTTAAATTATTTTATCGAAAAACTATACGAGTGCATTGTTGATAAGGTGAAATAATGAGAGAACTTTTTATTGAAATACATGTTTTAGAGCTCTTGATTACTGACCGTGCGCCTTTATGTCTGAGCCACAAGTGCCTCAAAATTTGTGCATAGTAAGCGGCGAGTGATCGCGGAGCCGGGGGTGGCCAGCGGCTTGGACCGGTTCATTTTGCTGTAGCGGTATTGGGCGGTTCTTTGTGGACGGTGTTGCAGCAGATATCGTCGAGTGAGTGTTGGAGGGCTTAGTCGCGATAGTGTCGAAAAAGTGTCTACAAAAGAAGACGGATTAGGGCGACGGGTCGAAAAAAACGGAGCCTTCGAACTTTGTGAGGCCGGCCTATATCTTTAGCATTCAGACCCTTGATTCAGACCTTCCTGGTGGACATGTGCAGGGGTGCTTTTGCGGAACAGAACATTGCTAAGTTTGACGGTGGCAGACAGGTCGGGCTAAAATTTACCCACTGGGCCGAGCATTTACGTGATCCAAACATATTTAAGTTGGAGTATGTTTGTGCTGGCTGACTGGGCCATATGATGCAGCATTTTCAGATTATTGTTCTTGAATTATTGGGTGTGGTATTCCTGCATGAGATAACCCTAACATCATAGTTTTTTAAACGTTTGCATTATATGTGTTGAAATTAGTGACCACCTGTGGTGCCCAGGAGTGCTGTGAGAACCTGTTTTTTTGTTGTTATGATTTAAGTTAAAACCTACAGGCAAAGTTTGTGAAGATAGTTTAAACTATGTTTCTTACTATCTGTGTGCTGCCATGTGATTCATTGTTTGTGTTGGTACCTGATGCTGCAATATTAAATTGTTCATCAACTGACATCTAAGAGACATCAGATCCAATAAAGAATTGATTAAAAGAGTGTACATGTACCAGTGCAATGATTGTGATCTTTACTACCCTAAAAAAGACAAGGTATATTGCTCTTTTGTAACAAATGGTACCTATTTTAAGTTATGCCCCTACTTCATAACACTGTAGCTCATTTTCTCAAACTATTGCATAAGGACTACAGCAGAACAATATAGCAATGGATGATGCATCCATGTACTGGGAGCTATACATCCTCACCCTGTGCAGTGTGCAGTGACAGCTTTTTTTTTTTTGGCAAACATGGTAATAGCAAATGGTGTCACTGTCCTAGTGAGGTGAACTTTTCATCAGGATTTCACACAAGCTGGCCTTTTCCTGTTCCTACCTCTATGCCTAGTCCTACTCCTACCACTAATCCTACCTGTACTCCTTTTGCCCCTATGCCCTTCTCTTGCGACTGCAATGGGGCTTCGCCAGATGCTCGACTGACCTGCCTGCCAATCATTGATCAACATCATTTTTTGATACTGCTGTACTGAGAACTCATAAGAACATTTTTATTTTGAGCCTAAGATTAGAAAATGCCACTGTTTTCTGATGATGGTTGACATGTTTTGGTCTTAAGAAGTCTCGTATAATGGTGTTATATAAATTGCCTTATTCTGGAAGTTGGTGTGTTGTTGGGATGTCAAATAAAATTATATAGTTTTGATTTTATTTTAAGCCATGCTTCACCTTACTTATGCACTAGTTATGTCAGACAAAATATCATCCTCATATTTATGCTGCTTAAAGGTCATTCAGCCTGTTGATCATAGTCACATTGAGCTCCTATTGAGGTAACCATACACATTCTCAAATTTGGGATGTGAAGGATATGAATGTCATGCATGGTGTTGTCCAGTATAAATTAAACCTCAATGTGAGGTGCTCAGATTGGTTAACATGATTAACTTGAGCTGACTGTGCTGGAGGCAGATGTCTGCCAGGAAAAAGGAAGCATGTTTGGAAAATAATAAACAGCATTTTATTGTACCAGTCCCTCTCCAGATATTGAAACTAAATCCTTAATCATGCTGATATATGATGGTGTACAATCTATTAAGGTAAATTACTGCTAAGCAACCTACTGCATGCAAAGTGATGCTGTGTTGTTACCTTTCTGATAGGATCAGGAAATCCTAACACAGCTGGATTATACTGATGTCACTGCAGGTATTTCCATAGAGGGTATACACCACTATGTCAACTTCAACAGGGCATACCATTCTAAACCTAGCATCATTCATATCAGCCAATAACATGGAGGCAAATATGTGGATGGCCAATTTTGTTTCATACTTAAGATTATAATTTTGTAGATCAATATGAGGTTAATACCATATCAATATTCATTAGCACAATGGATTGATGCATTCAACTATTAATTTTCTATCTATAAATCAAGAGGGTTTGTGCCTGCTATGGTTTGTAAAGAAATTGTTATCAGAGACTTCTGTTTTAACCAGACTTATGCATCAGCAGAAATATGCTTCAGGAAGTTCATATGAAAATGATGGTATTACTGGTTTATGCATATGTAAAATGCTTAAATTACTAGGTACTGACCAGTGACTTCGTTCCAGAGCTGTATGCTGCAACCAGAAGGAACAGCCTTTTCAAGCTGTAATAAAAGTTAGTCATCATGAATATATCATCATCAGGTTAGTGAAGTTTTTAGTTGTATATTTTAGCAAATGTGTTTACAGAGAAGCCATGGCAGCCCAAAATATGTGGCCATTGTCAAGTTGATACTGATATCCGAAGTGAATGAAATATCTACTGAATTGTGCACAGATAGTTACCATCAGAAACTTGAAGGCTTAGAACCTGAAATATGTCATGTTGCATCATATGCCTTGTATGCACTATTCTCCAGTTTCATTGGTGTTGCCTCATTCACCTTGTATGCACTGTTCCCAGTGTGTTTGGCATGTGTTAATCATGTTTGGCATGGTTAATCAAGCTAAACCCTGACTCCTCCTCCCACCCAGCTGGTATCATCTCACTCCTGGAAGAGCCCATGCCAGAGCTGAAGGTGTTTGCTCTGAAGAAACTAGATCTCATTGTAGATGAGTTCTGGGCAGAAATCTCAGAGGCTATTGAGAAAATGTAAGTTGACAAAATACAACACATTTTGGATTGCACAATTTATCCAGACTTCATTAAATATAAACTTGCATTGCAGATTTGCATGACTCATTGTACTGAGTAACATTACATATGCAACATGGATAATTTGCTGGTGCCTCCTGTATTCAGAGTGTGGTTTGTTCAGTCTGGGGATTTAAGCATCTGTGAAGATGGGGAGGTCAAGAAAGCTGATTTGCTTGATTACTTAACAAGATACAACAATATTTGTGGCTGTACATCTGAGTAAGCTTCAGTTAAAGCAACATTGTTTTGCAATAAGGGTGAACTTGGTATGAACCTGGCACCTAGGTTAGAGCCTAGATGAGCAGGAATCAAAGTTAGCTGTAGAAAATGACACACATTTTCAGTTCCATTAACTGCGGACAAGAAACACAAACTTTCAATGCCATTTCGAACCGAGATGTCATGTATCCCCTACTTCTATGTAGTTGTGTTGGCAGTTCATGCACCATGATAGGAAATCTGAGTGGACATATCAGCTGTACAATATAGTTTGCTTTGAGCCATGTATTACCATGTTTACCTGGTGTTGCATCTGACGTTCGGCCCATTATTATATTCATCGGCCGATGCAGTTGTTGTATGGCGCCATCACGTTCGTGCTGACGGCCGCCCCCTGCACGCAGCGAGATCCTGCACGAGGACAAAGGCTTCCCGGAGCGCCATTTGGCCGCACTGGTGGCCAGCAAAGTCTACTACCACCTGGGTTCGTTCGAGGACTCGCTGACATATGCGCTCGGCGCCGGAGACCTGTTCGACGTCAATGACAAGTCCCAGTATGTGGAGACCATCATTGGTGAGTGTTTTCATGCCAGCATGTCTGTCTGCTGGGAATGCCTGGAAAAGGATAGATGACAGTGGTGGTTGGTCATGTGGAGGCCTGTGAGAGTCGTTTGAATTATTTTCGTGGACTGCTCTGCTTGCATCATGCTGTGATGATGAATTAGTGAGGCAGCCGAGGGATGATGTAGATCAGAAATCTTTCCAACCCCGAGATGGGATCATTTTAGGTCCTCAGCACATAGCTGCTGTCAACTTTGCAATGTTCAATGTGGTTTGAACCAAAACGGTGATGACCGGTGGCCAGACACTCGTAACAATTGCACCAGGCAAGACATTGAATATGTTTTCCGAGTGTCATTCCTACCTTCCAATAATTACATACCGGCATTATTGGACATGAGACATGAACCCCGTCGTCACCGGCAGCCAAATGTATCGACCACTACACCCAGCTGCGCGTTTCGAACGCTGAGGAGGCCGGCGAGGGCGACGGCCACCTGATCGATGCGCGCCTCGAGGGCATCGTGGACCGCATGCTCAGTCGCTGCTTCCAGGACGGCCAGTACCGCCAGGCGCTGGGCATCGCGCTCGAGACGCGCCGCATGGACGTCTTCCAGAAGGCCATCATGGACTCGGTGAGCGGACGCGGGACGTGGGGAGAAAGCTTGGTGTCGGCTGGAGGGAGTTGTGGAGCCTTCCTGCGCTGGTTGGCCAGTGTTGGAATCTTAGCGCTTTGTTAGGAAAGTTAACCCTGATGAATCAATACTCAGAATTTTATGCTAGAAAGAATGAACAGCAAAGCTCTCCATGCACAAAACCCCTAGTTATGATGTCTATTAAGCGAGAGGTACCAAGACCCACACGTTTCACCAATTTCTATCGCCCAAGAAACCATCTCTAACGATTTTATTACCAGCGCTCACCAACAATGCCTCATCCGTCCTCACCTCCACTCTTATCATAAACCTTGCAATCAAGCCTGGGTTGCCCTCTGCGCTTACTACACAACACCGTTTACGCCACGTCCGCATCAAGCTCGTGGCACATTCGCGTCTCTACGTGCCGCAGTCGGGCCGCAGACGCCCCGGAAGCATCCCCCGGTACCCTTCACAGGCGGCCACGCTTTGGGTGGAATTTCCCGCCTCTCTCGGGGTTGCCTCGGAGACGTCTCCACTCTCCGGACTCTCCGGCGCATGACTGGCTGTTGCATGGCATGGGGTGGCGCCAACACTGACGTCGCCAGTGAATTGTCCATCTGAAAAAGTTGTGTGTGGAAGCGGAAAGTGGGCAATAATGCTGCGCATCAGACCAGGTTTCACCGACCCATCTGAGACCGAATGTGGTAGACAGCGAAGGATAACGAAACCCATGCTGATGGGTAGTTTATCAGCACATGGGGAGAATGGGGAGGAAGGATACAAACCGTGAGGTGTAAGACGAGGAGGTGCAATGGAATCGCTGTAGGTACGTTATGGTCGCTGTCTGGCGCATTCGTGTACATAGATGAACATTTTGTTGTATATTTCACAAAGAAGCCTCGGATATTTTGGGCACTGGACGGGACTCGATGTCTGGACCGCTGAAACTGCATTTGATGGAAAGCTAACAGAACAGAAAATTTGTCTGGATGTGATGGGTTCAAGTGTCAAGTTGCGTAGGGAAAACGGTTTGTTTGTTTTTAATGAGAAATAGGTTGCTGAAGAATTTCGTGGAGACAAACTAGGGTTTTGAAATCCTGAGGTGCTACATTTTGTGTCCAAATTGGCATGCATCATTGTAGTCTAAATATGTATGTATATGCATCGGCGCCCATAAGGGGAGCTTGGTAGAACTGAGGGTTCACAGCATTCTATGATCCAAAGCCTAACACATGGCGATTTTGATTTGGGCTCAAAACAAATGTGGTTTTTAAGTATGTCTTTGTTTCTCTTTTAGTTTATGGAAGGCAATAATGGCCTAGAAAGTATTTGAAATACTTGTCTTCATATTTACTTTAAAGCTGTGATGATGCAAGTTTTACATTGGTCATACAATTGAAAGCCTGCATTTCAGCAAAGCAGTGTTTGTTTTCAAAATTATTTTTTATCTTTAATTTTTATGTCGGTTCCAATCTTTCAAACCCAGATGCATAGTCGAGCAGGGGTGCCAAATGGATGTTAACGTGTCCTATGCTTCAGAAGGTTGGCCCACACCTGACGGAAAGTTATTCTCAACAACGGAAGTTGTCTTTTGTCGTGGGTCAGGCCATAAGAGCCAACAAATCAGCAATTTTGGCTGAACTTTCTGTTATGAGTTATTCGGGTTCGGTACTGGTTGTAAGGAAGGAAGGGGCTGGAACCTAACCTTGAAGGGCATAGGCTCTCTTACTAAAGTTCGGATGGGAATGTTCTCTCAATCTCCCTGCGACTGTACCCATAACTTTGCTAAATGTTTTGGGAAAGAGATGACAGTGTGGGAAGATCAGTGTTCAGGTAGCATGCAGGCCCAAAGGATAATCTCTCCAACGCTTTAAGCTGTAACTGGGCAGATCAATAGCAAAAAGAGTGCTCTTTAGACAGTTGAATGGGTAGAAGGGTTAGTGGCTTTTTCATGTTTGTGTAATGGGCTTTAAATTCAAAGCTTGTTAAATGAGTTGAATCGAGATATTTACGAGTGATGTTTATGTACACAACGAAACTTAGTTGACCCAACAAAACTAGTTGTAGCAGTTGTTGGTAAATAAAACACAAAGAAAGCTATGCAAAGCCACGTTTGTTAAGAGACGCTAAAGCTAACATACAAACACGTTCTTTTTCTCGACCTGGGATATGCAAGCGGATAAAAACTTCATCTCCGACCTAGTTCGCGAAGCTGCAACCCTGAATTGCAAAATAAGATTCCCACTCTGGTTGACGTTCTCTTGGAGCCGCGGGCGACTCGTGATTCGATGTGCAGTACTGTGCAACTGTGAAATGCTTGTTCCGGTTGAACTTGGTGGTATTGCCAGCACTCTCAAACTTGTTACTGAGAATAGGGTTACGCCTTGCTGTGTTAGCAATTTGTGAATCATTGTGTGGCGGTGGTTTCACCGTGCTGTACTGTCAGTGGCGCCATGTTCGATTGTGGCACTGTTCCTCAGGACGATGTTAAACATAACTGGCATGACCTCTGACCTCCCTGCTGACCGCTGACAACTGGCGTCGCTATCCCTGACCTCTGACCTCTTCACTGACCAATTGACCTAACTGGCGTCACTAGCCCTGACCTCCTACGTTCTCATTGACCAGCTGACCTAACTGACGTCGCTAGCCCTGACCTCTGATCTCTCAACTGACCAGCGGACCTAACTGGCATTGCTAGTCCTGACCTCTGACCTTTCCACTGACCAAGTGACTTAACTGGTGTCGCTAGCCCTGACTTGTGACCTCTTCAGTGACCAAGCGACCTAACTGGTGTCGCCATCCCTGACCTCTGACCTCCCGTTGACCAGACGACCTAACTGGCGTCGCTAACCCTGACCTCTCCACTGACCAGCTGACCTAAGTGGCGTCGCTAGTGCTGACCTCAGTCCTCCCCATTGACCAGCTGACCTCTGTCCGGCAGGACGACGTGGCCGGCATGCTGCAGTACGCCTTCACGGTGGCCATGTCGCTGATCCAGAACAGACAGTTCCGTAACGCGGTGTTGCGCGCGCTGGTCGACCTCTACCGCAACCTGGCCACGCCCGACTACGTCAACATGTGTCAGTGCCTGATCTTCCTGGACGACCCTAGCGCCGTGGCCCAGGTGCTGGAGCGGCTGATCCGCGGCACGCAGGTCAGTAGACACAATGGCGAGGCCCCGGGACGACCGGTAACGGGAGACGTGTTGGTGCTTCGTGGGGAATACGATGGCTCGCTGCGGTGGGTGCCGAGGCCGGTCTGGGTTATGGCACAGGTCTTAGATGGGCTGCGCCATAGCACTTTGTGCGGGTTTGTTTTGTTCCGGTGTCTTCTTTTTGCAAGTTATTTCAAGTGTTGCGTATTATAGCTGTAACTTGTTCCACACACCCCATCACCGAAGTCGTACCGTGCAGTCCAATGGATGATCTTAATTCCGCCCTTTCGCCAGACAGGAATGCGAAGGGCTTTACGTGCCGCACAATGCTGCGATACGGTCGCCCCGGGCCTGGGTCGTTCTCGTTGGGCAGTTGCCAGCTGACCTTTCCATGCCAGTCGGGCCATTCAATGTATTCGCTCAGAGATCAGTGCCATTGCCACCGGATTCGGAGTGCAGTATCTTTCCCCAACCACGTATATTTTGGGCATGGTGTCAAAATGTGTAGGGATTAGTACTGATTGGTCGAAGATATCAGCCAAATGACGTTCAAGAAGTGTCATTACGTAGTGTTACTCCAGTGTTACCTGTCGGTATAAAGATTACCCACTTAGAATTCAGGACTTGAAATTAGGTTTTCGTCGGACATGTTATCTGTTAGGTTTCTTTCCCATGTAATGTCCTGTTTTTTAGGGATGCGTTATTAGCCTGTACTTATGTTTGTCTTTGTGTTTACTTTTTGTCATTAATTCACCATGTAGGTGTCACCAGCTGTGTGAAAGGGCTGGACCATGGCGCTCTCTGCCCTGTCTCGCCAGCATACCGCCTGACTTCGTTCCCCCGCGATGCCCGCAGGACAGCGCACTGATGGGCTATCAGATCGCGTTCGACCTGTACGACTCGGCGACGCAGCAGTTCGTGGGCCGGGTGCTGCAGGCTCTGCGGGTGACGGCGCCGCTGCCGGCGCTGCTTGCCGGCCCGGTAACAGCTGCCGCGCCGGCCGAGCACGCGGCCGACCGGGCCGAGCAGCCCGGCGACGCGCGGCCCCAGACGGCCGATCAGCTGGTGAGCGCTGGCGGGGAGGGACCGGAGACTGAGGGCGTCCGGTCGGCTGTGACGTGCGAGCAGGCCTAGGCTGATCATGTTTCAGTGAAGGAGAGGCATGACCGCATGGCCCTGCTCCGCCGCCCTCCCTCTTGATGACACGAAGGAACACAACACTAGTCCACCGATTGTTAAGATGTTGCACAACTAGTCCTGGAGAACAGTATCTTTTCAGATGATATCGATTGTGTTGTGTGTCTGCCTCAACTGCTATGTGAAACTTTCATTCTTTCATTTTCATTGTCTCAGAGTTTCTGTAGCCGAGGTTGTGCACCTGAATGCATCCATTCCGCAGGTCACGTTGTGTCTCAATGACACTCGTGCGCGCACGCGGTTTACACGCAGTACAGAGCCTGGCGACGACGAGCGTGCCAGTGTGCCCTCTGACCGGGCCCCAGTAATACTGCCGCAGGCCTGAGCCGCGGTACTCACTGTGGCAGCCGTGCCTGACGTACTGCGCCGCCGCCAGTCGGAACGGGACCAGCAGGTGCAGAAGCACTACGAGCGTCTGACCACCATCCTGGCCGGCGACGTGGCCATCCAGCTGCACCTGCAGTTCCTCATCCGTGGAAATCACACGGACCTGATGATTCTGAAGCAGGTCAAGGACACGGTGCGCGCGTCCGTCTGCCACACTGCCCTGGTGGTGGCGCACGGCTATATGCAGTGTGGCACCACCAGCGACCAGTTCCTCAGGTTGGTGGCAGTCGCGGACGAGTCTGGCGTGCCCAGCTCAGCTGCTGAGATGGCCTTGACTGTGGAGCGGTTTACGTTGCCACTGGTGTGTCCAGTAGTGCTTTCTTCCATGTTAGCATATAGTTGTTGTTTTGTTGTCCAAGAGCATGTCGGACAAATACGCGACGAATTGCCGGCGTCATCTGAACGCCCCGATTCATAGAAGTGTAATATTTTTCTTTTGAACCTCGCCGACCAATCCAGTGGCCAGGCATAGCGTCTTGATGTAGGCTCGTTGCGTGTCACTTCTGTGCGACCGCTGTGACGTCAGCCGTAATTTGCAGGGATAACCTGGACTGGCTGTCTCGGGCATACAGCTGGGCCAAAATGTCGGCCACAGCGTCACTGGGCGTCATCCACAAGGGTCACGAGAAGGTGGGTTGAAGCAGAAGCATAGCACGGCATCGCTCACACGGGCTTGTGGATGCTGCGCACTCTGCGTGACGAAGCCTCGGGCCACATGTTACACAGGACATACTAGGTTCCAACAACAGCAGCCCTATTCCCCATGTCTAACAGCACTGTCTCTTGTCAACCGCCCATTTTAGCTAACAACGTTCCTTCGCCCAACAATTGAATGTCACGTGGGATATGTATTGCCAATGCAAGTTATGGGTGCAATGTGAGGATCCTTATAAGAGCGCTGATGATGCGTTCTCCACCGAGCTACGCTTAGCTCAGTCGAGCATCAGACTGGCGTCCAGCGTATGTGAGTTAGCTGATGCGGTGCCGGTGAGCGTCACATCTGGCGCTGACCATGCTTACCGTAGGTATACAGTATCGCTACGTTGTTACTATATCCATCGTTATATCCCCCCTGACTATTAACTCATTTTGTGAAACTACGTCCTTGGTGTGATGCATGCCTACCGATCTCCGGACCCCCCCCCCCCCCCCTCCCCCCTGGAGAAAATTGTGGCTGCGCCACTGTTCGGAAGGCATGCTAAATGACGAAGAAAACCGGAAACAATGGAAGAGCAAAAGGGGTACCCGCCACCATCCCTATAAAAATCTGACGTGAACCTTGTTGCGCTGCAGGAAGATAAGTGAGATAAAATACCCCCCCCCCCCCCCCCATCTACCAAGAGGATATGCCAGGACTGGCTGTCAAGCGCAATTGGCTGCCACACAACAGTGAGGCCGCATTCAGTTGTAGAATTGTCAGTGCAGGTGTGCCCTTGGCATCGCAATTGTCAATTGTGTTTATAATCGGAGTGCCAGTAAAAAAAACATGGTACCAGCGTGCACAAAGTGTAGGTATTGATTAACTCGAGGTTTTCTCTGCACGGGCACTTCTACTGATCTTAAATGGCGGAGGCGCGAGAACCATCGCGTCATTGGGGGGGGGGGGGGAGCTTTGGGGGCTCAAGTCCCTTCTCCCGCGAGAATTGTGAAAATCTAGCACTAGGCTTACGGTTGTACCAGGAAAAATCCGACTTCATTGCCTCTTAGCCGCCAATTTTGGGGAACATTCCTCACTCACTCCCGGCATGAAGGTGCAGACCGCCTGCAGAAAACTCATATGAAAGGTTTCAGATGAATAGGTAGTCTGCAGATTAGAACATTTTTCACCTAATTAACGCGACTGCAACGCTTCAGATATTTTCCTACCAACGCACGCAACGCATTGCAACTCAAAGTTTCGCGTGCGACGAGTCAAATTCCAGCAGCAGAAACCGGCACGCCTAAAACGTTGTCTCACCATGGGAACGAGAGTGTTCAACCTCATTTCCTACAAATACTAGCTTTCATTATGGCAGAAACATATGATGAAAAATGAGTTAGTAGGGCTGAATCCTACATGTACTGTTTGTGGATGCTTGTCTGCTTGCCAAGTTGCCATGCCTCAACCGTGAGAGGAATTAGAGGGCGTGATGGGCGCCGGCGCAGGACGCCATTACTGTTGGCTGTTGACGAACGTAGGGCTGCGGGTAAGCCATACACTGGTGTGTCGAGCTGCCCGTAGTTCGCCTGGTGTACCCTAATCTGTCGTTTTTGCTTACGAGTCTAGACCATTTTACAGTGGATGCCCCTCTTTGGGATTGCAGACGTCTGCTAGTAATTTAACATGGATGTTGCCAATCGTGGTATCATATATCAATGATGCTAACACTGCTGATGGCGTCGCCGACAGGAAGCGCTGGGTCTTATGCAGGCGTACCTGCCGAAAGACGCGGCCGGCAGCTCGGGCTACACAGAGGGCGGCGCTCTGTACGCGCTCGGCCTGATCCATGTCAACCATGGCGCCGCCATCATCGACTACCTGGTGCAGCAGCTCAAGGAGGCCAACAATGAGGTGCGTCAGTGGGGAGCACGACGTCACGGAGGGAGAAAGTGCCTGAAGGAAAAGAGAGCTGAAGGCAGCTGGGAACAGAGACAGAGAGCGCTGGAGTGTAGCAACGCGGTGGGAAGAAGAAACAGAGAACAAGGAGCGATATCGGAGCAGAACGACACATGCATAGCTGGGCGGCGGAATGTCCACGGGGTCACAGGTCGTTGTGGTGGATCCTAGAGAAGAGAGTTTGCGTGCCCTCGATTTTGTTGTTACTTCTCGATTTTGTATCTGAAAACTAAGATAAGCCCCATCAAAAGGGGAGGGGGTGCTGCCACGGATCTTAAGCTGGGTGGTGTGGGGGAGGGGGGGCGGACACCCCTCCTGCCTCCCCCCCCCCCCGCCGCCGTTGCCATGCCTATGTCATGTGCTATAGGAGCTGACGCCTCCGTGCGTCGGCAGGTGGTGCGGCATGGCGGCTGTCTGGGCGTGGGTCTGGCCGCCATGGGCACGCACCGGGCCGATATCTACGAACAGCTCAAACTCAATCTGTACCAGGACGACGCCGTCACCGGAGAGGCAGCCGGTGAGTGGCAGTGCCCGAGCGTGCCGTGGTTACCGACCTGAAGACGTTAACGTTGTTCGTCACCTGCAGATTAGGCCACTCTTTATGCGCACCAGATGTACTGTGTAATATGCAGTGGGAGGCTATCGGCCAGGCGCGTGTCCGTCAGTCCTCGCCAAAATGTCACGTTGTGATGCTTCGCCTTCGTGCATGACTAATAGAACCGGCATGTATTCCTAACCAGGTATCGCGATGGGTCTGGTCATGCTGGGTTCCAAGTCGGCGCAGGCGATTGAGGACATGGTGGCGTACTCGCAGGAGACGCAGCACGAGAAGATCCTGCGCGGCCTGGCCGTCGGTGAGTGACACTTGGCTGCGGGTGCCGGTGGCGCAGTGGCTTAGGCGCGCGTCTGGGAAACCAGAGGTGCGGTGTTCGATTGCCCGCGGTGCCCGCCTTTCGTGCCAGGGTGAGGCAAGCGACGCCGTATCACCTCAGTAGCCGCGTGGGACTTAGTCTCCATTACGAACAACAACACGTGGTCCCGTCCGGTCTGTATGTCGGGCGACACGTACGCGTTGACATGCGGCTCGCAGGGATAGAGTCGGCCCCGCTGGTGGCTCCTCTACCAACATGTCTAAAGCTTGGACTTGCGAGACACGGTAATACGTTCTATGGGGGTGCGTGTCGCGATGTGTCGCAGGAAATCAGTGATCGCAGCAAGTTGAAGGTTAAATCTATGGGACTCTCGTCTTCGTGGTCGTGAGAAAGAGCGTCTCCGCCAAGTCACGTTTTAGCATGGTGATAATGCATGATGAAATAATGCTAAGGTGGAGGACGTGCACGACATCCAGCGTCTACTGATGCCTTTTTGTCCATCAGGATTTCGGCTCTAAATCGTTTGAAACGTGCGCTTGCTTCTGACAGGGTAGCTCCTCACGTTGCTGTGTCATATATGACGATTGAATTTGCATACAGAACTGCGCACAACGGCGCGTCCCCAGTGTTGCTTCAGTATGGACCGTCGCTTCTCAAGTCTGTCTTCATGAGTCATCTAGGAAAGTTGTGATCGGCACCGCTCTCAGGTCCCCCCCCCCTGGCGTTTGATTGGCCCCACTCTCAGCCCCCCTCCGCGGTGTTATGATAGGCCCTACTTTTAGCCCCCCCCCCCCTGGCGTTATGATGGCCCCACTCTCAGCCCTCCTCCGCGGTGTTATGAGGGGCCCTACTTTTTAGGCCCCCCCCCCCGCCCCTCCCCCTTCCGGCGTTATGATTGGCACCACTCTCAGCCCCCCCCCCCCCCCCCTTCACCACCCCCCCCCTCCGCGGTGTTATGATTGGCCCCACTCTCACCCCCCCCCCTGCCCTCCCACGCGTTATGATTGGCACCACTCTCAGCCCCCCTCCCCTCCCGCGGTGTTATTATGGCACCACTCTCAGCACCCCCCCCCCCTGCACTCCCCGGCGTTATGATTTGGAACACTCTCAGCCCCCCCTCCCCCCTCCCCGGCGTTTATGATTGCACCACTCTCAGACCCCCTCCCTCCCCCCCCCGGCGTCATGATTGGCACCACTTCAGCCCCCTCCCTCCCCCTCCCCGGCGTCATGATTGGCACCACTCTCAGCCCCCTCCCCCTCCCCGGCGTTATGATTGGCACCACTCTCAGCCCCTCCCCCTCCCCGGCGTTATGATTGGCACCACTCTCAGCCCCCCTCCCCGGCGTCATGATTGGCACCACTCTCAGCCCCCTCCCCGGCGTCATGATTGGCACTCTCAGCTCCCCCCTCCCCCTCCCCGGCGTCATGATTGGCACCACTCTCAGCCCCCCTCCCCGGCGTCATGATTGGCACCACTCTCAGCCCTCCCCCTCCCCGGCGTCATGATTGGCACCACTCTCAGCCCCCCTCCCCGGCGTCATGATTGGCACCACTCTCAGCCCCCCCCCTCCCCTCCCCGACGTTATGATTGGCACCACTCTCAGCCCCCCTCCCCCTCCCCGGCGTTATGATTGGCACCACTCTCAGCCCCCCCCTCCCCCCCCCGGCGTCATGATTGGCACCACTCTCAGCCCCCTCCCCCTCCCCGGCGTTATGATTGGCACCACTCTCAGCCCCCCTCCCCGGCGTCATGATTGGCACCACTCTCAGCCCCCCTCCCCGGCGTCATGATTGGCACCACTCTCAGCCCCCCTCCCCTCCCCGGCGTTATGATTGGCACCACTCTCAGCCCCCCTCCCCCTCCCGGCGTTATGATTGGCACCACTCTCAGCCCCCCTCCCCGGCGTTATGATTGGCACCACTCTCAGCCCCCCTCCCCCCGCCTCCCCGACAGGCATTGCGCTGACGATGTACGAGCGTCTGGAGGAGGCGGACACGCTCATCACGAGCCTGTGTTCCGACAAGGATCCCATCCTGCGTCGCAGCGGCATGTACACGGTGGCCATGGCCTACTGCGGTACCGGCAACAACCAGGCCATCCGACGTCTGCTGCACGTTGCCGTAAGTTGGCGTGTGGCCGGGCCGAACGGTGGTGGAAGGACACGTTTGTCGTTTGTCTGTGGGTAAGCCTGCGACGTAACAGTGTGACGGGTGGTTTGCTTCACTGATCGGTTCTGATCATCCACTCAGCGCAGCCCAGCAGGGCGATTTAATAGCCTCTTGATACACGTTCGTTTAAGATTTTAACGGAAAATTGGCACCGGAATCATCTGATGCGTATAATTCTTCGAACACGGACCATTAACTCCCTCTGACTAACGGGTCACCAGATATGCCTGTGGCGTTTTCATAACTGGAGTTGACATTGGTGCGTTTATGGCGTCGTGTCACCTGTAATAATGGATGTAATGTCAACGTATTTATTCAGTTGTATATTTTCTATTTATGTTCTGGACTGCGAATATTCATACAATGGAAGTAAAAAATTCATCTCAGTCACCGTGGAAAGAAGTAAACTGATGACTCAAGTCAAAGGCTATCTTTTCAGCGTGCGTAATATCCGTTTTTAACTTTTTATGCGTCAGATGATGCTTATCACGTGTTGTTTTTTCCAAAAACAAACATAATATCAGAGGGTGCGAGTGCCAATAGCCTCACCGTGGCTCAAACATGGCCTGCTTCACTCATTTCCACATTCGGACGTCACGGACATGGGGACGCTTTTTCTGCCAGCTGCTGCTCAACAAGATTATGCGAATTGCAGCTCTAATGGATTTGCAAATGCCCATATTTGTTACAAATCGGTACCAGGGACCAGGGATTATGTCATGCATCAAATCCACCATGTCGTTGCCCAATGTTGCACAAAGTCGCCGCAAAGTCGCCGACGTTTTAAACCACCTCCATAAATGTGCAGCGGTCTGTGGACACATGTTGGCTATGTCGAAGGTAACGGGGATGATGTCTTTCATAATTTTGTGTTGCTACAACATTCAGAACATATCTAATTTTTAGGTACGTTTTACAAATATGTCGAGCCATATTTTGCAACTCGTTGGCCGGGCAGTACTGATATCGTGGCCAGGCAGTAATATATGATGTTGTCAATCACCCTGCTTTGTACTGTACCACATGAGAACACACTCGTCCAGTCCACCAGTAAACTGAGTCAGCGTCACCTGTCTGTACTCGGGCCTACTGAAGCCGGCGCACGTGCGCCC